GCTTTCAATCAATTGGCTTTTTGGATCACATTTTCACCTATTTCACTAAGTACTCAAATTTATTATGACATTTCATCGACAACTGTCGATTATCTTCTTAATTGGGGACCATTCGTGTTTATTCCCTGTCTACCATTTGCTTATCTTCTTCTCAACAGAAAAAATGGTTTTCGACACATTGTAATCATTACAGCAATTGTCTCTCTTGTGGCCACTCTCATTCGTATCATACCTTTGATCGTTATCTCTCCCTCGAATCCGCAATTTAGAACTATCTCTATTCTCTTTCTCCATGTTGGCCAGATTCTTAATGCTCTTTGTAGTCCTTTAGTAATGATACCTGTTTCTCAATTGTCATGTCTTTGGTTTAGTCCCAATGAGAGAACACGTGCGACCACAGTCGCTATCATGGCAAATAGCTTTGGCTCTACTGCCAGTTTTCTTATCAATCCATCAATTGTTGCTCGTCCTACGAATCTGCCTTACTTGCTGTACTTTCATTTTGCTTTAGCACTTTTAGCTGCCATTCCTGCTCTCATATATTTTCCTGCTGAACCACAAACACCTCCATCACATGCAGCTCAGATACTCATGCGTGGAAAAGAGAAAAACACAGATTCAGACTTGAAGACTTACATAAAAGGTCTTCGACAATGTGTTACTAATCGCTCATTTGTTCTACTTGTAACAGTTGGAGGTCTAATGGGAGGAACTTTTGCAATATGGACAGGCTTATTTTCTACGATTCTCGCTTTTGAGAATTATTCTGAAAAGCAAGCTGGTGAGTTTCGTATATTTCTTTTTCCATATTTACTCTATCTTGATATGAGCGGATTTACGTGAAGATTTCTTCTCAAAGTGAAGAGACTATTACAGTGAGTTGTTTGATATTTTTTCTGAGCTTCGAAGAACATTTTCTAAGAATGTAACACTATCGGAAAAGAGTGTTGAAGTATTTAGCGAAAAATAGTGAGTTCCTGAGACGCATCCTACAGACCGTGACAGACATTTCAGCATGCTGTGCTCCTGAGATCTTGTCGCAGATCGTGATAAGAATTACGAGGATTTTCTTGTACAATTAAAGCAGCTCCGTTGTTTTTCATATATTAGTCTCGTATGGATTATGCTGAAAAGTTTTCTCGATCGAAACGTACTTTAGTCACAGTAAAACATTTACAAACCAAATTGAATAGAAACTGGAAAAAGAGAAATATGGACTTATTGTTTTAGACACTCTTAACGGATCGGAGTTTTATAGAGAGGTTAGTTTTCAAATAAAAAACTATTTAAACAATCGTAGCGAAGAGAACTCGACTTTGAGACTTTAAATAATAAAGAAAGTTAGAACAAAGTATGAAAATTTTGGAATGTGTAAAAAGGCTATAGAATCATACAGAACAATGAAAATCGAATGCGATTTCATCTGAAAATTCTATCAAACTTCTTGTAGTTCGAATTCTTAACAAAAACAATCCTTCAATATAACCCCTACGGAATAAATAAAAGTACAGTATGTTGAAATGTCTATCACGACCTGTGGAGCGAGCGAGGAGACACTTGATTTAATTTTTCCGTTATGTGCTTCAACACTCATTTCAACCATATTTTACAAACTTCACAAAAACTATGGGAATAAAGTGAAAAATTCCAAAACTTTAGTAGAATTAAACATAATATTCGAAAGTCTTCGAAATACATAGATAGAATTATATTTAGTTGTTATTCAAATTATAGTCCTCTTTGCTTCTCCCCTTACTGCTAAGATTGGGCATGGATTAAAGGATAATGTGGCAACACTAGATTTAGACTTGAACGTAGTCTAATTATTTGTCTATATTTTGATAAGGCTGGTTCGCTTTTGGATCATCTTTCGGTTCAATCGTTGGCGGCTTTTGCATGAGTGCTCTGGCCGATATACCTCGATTTCAACGTTCATTAAAAACGCTTATTCTATTGGCATTGATCGGCTGTTTACTCTCAGTAATGTGGTTTCAACTATCTATTCGTACGATTTTTTATAATGTGCCAATTCTTGGTTCGAACCAAGTCACTATTGGAATTTCTCTCATTCTTGTTGGTGTTTGTAGAGGAGCTGCATTGCCGTTAATCTATGAAAGTTTGGCCGAAATTACGTTTCCACTGCCAGAATCTCTTTCAGCTTCGGTTCTCCTACAATTGATGAATATTACTGCCGTTATTCTCCTTTTTAGTACTACTGGACGATACAAATTAATGAATTTAATCGTTGTCATCACTAATCTAGTATCTATTGTCATGGTTGTATTCGTGCGAGTCTCATACAAACGACGAAATGAAGATGGTCGAATGAAGAACGAAACAATTCTTGGACTCGATTAAATCAAATATTTTTCAATTTGAACTATTCATATTAAAACATCTAACATATTATCCTGACTAAAATTTTTAATTTTCTTATTGTCATCAGTTGAATTGGATTATCATTTAATTTTTATTAAAGTGATAGTTTTGTTTTTGAAGAAAAGTTCTATTAATATTTTTCGGGTGTGAATCTTCTCTTCACCGACAACCTCACTCACCCATACCTACATCCACATCTACACTCTGTAGCAAAACCCACAAAAATATTCTTTCTTAAGAAAAGTATCAGACCTAACAAAAGTAATGAAATATTCGGAATTTATTGCAGAGTGAATGAATAAAAAAAATATACAGAAGGACTACGTCAGATCAGTCAACTTTGTGACCGACACACATATATTCATAATTATAGACGAAGTACGAAAAGAGAACAGTTTAGTACGAAGTTTTCTTATTGCAATACCTTTGCATTTATTCTATGAAACCTATTCCATTGCAAAATCTGAAAAGGTTTTATACGAAACCATATTGAGATTTCGTATTTTCGGTCGTAACCTTATACGATTTAGTAAAGTACCACGAAAATATGTATGTTTCGTATGATGCCAATTTCTTTTTTTTGTCAGTGTGTGTGCATATAATTAATTTGAAAAATCGCTAGCAATAGTTTAAAAACCTAGTCTTCGAAGAATCTATTCAAGATTAGTGACTTGACAATGTTTTTAATTCGGATTTCTATTAATGAAAATGTACAGGCA